TAAGTCTTAGGTCGAAACCCAGTTTATCACAGAAAGACGAGTCACTTCAGATTATTACCATCAACATATTAAACAGGCAACAGAAGTGTTTAAGTAAACAGCCTGAATGCTCAGTTAAAGGTCAGCTTCACTGTGTTTTGATTGTTTGGATCAGAGATTAAAGAAAACTGTATCAATGTAAACTCCAGGTTTCTTAAAGGACAGCTTCACTGATTTTGCAATTTCTGATTGTGTCCAACTGTTAAAAGTTAATATCAACGATCCCAATGCAAATCTGGGGTTTCCAAAAGTACTTGGTTGTATTAAAAGAAACGCTCGACCTCGCAGGCTTAATAATAAGACAACGAGTTCGACTGAAAGACTGATATGAACAACGCAATAAAGGAAAAAAGGGAGACTGTTGGTTGAAAGGACCAATCAGAAAGCCCGACACAAAACAGAAAGAAGAACGAGATAAGATCTAATAACAACATCACTCTCAGACACTATGGATCCAGCTGACAGCACTGATGACGTGAGGAAAGGCAAGTCGCAGGTCATCCCCTGTTGATTTCCTTCTGTAAATAACCTGAGGATCCTGGAAACGCTTACAGGTCACTACGGGGGACTCCCCGAAACACCGCAGTATAAATATAAAAGTCTCCGTTGACTGCAAACGTAAAGAACTGTAACACGGCTGACGTGAGACGCTGGCATAGCAGAGCTGGTTGCACAAATGGTAGTCGGGTAACAGTTTACTTTTCATGTGGGCCTGATAAGAGAAAAGTGTACTAACAGCTAAAATGACCTGCTTGAATGCCTTCAGTGCACCAACCGTATGGATGCTTTGTTAGTTCCACAGACAGGCCTTCCTAAACATGGGAGGTAGTGACGTGACATAAAGGCAAACACAGAAATCAGCTCACAATATATTTACAGTAGTTACTCCTCTTCAGCTCAAGATTATCAACAATTTAGCCAGCGAGATGCCAGCTGTGAGGCAGCTGTTCTCAGGCTTTCCCACATCTGCCTCTGCAGATTAGGAGCTCTGCCGTGTTTAGACGCCTACTTCTGCTCAGACTTCCGTAAATAATTTATCTTAACAAGCCAGAACAGCTAAACATGCAGATCACTGTCTGGGGAGCTCCCAGTTAAGGTTAGAGTTTTTCAGGATTTTAAGAAGTGCTCCAAATGTTGGTCAAGTCCAGCTGTAATCTCCACAAATTCTTAAAACATGAGCCGTTCAACTTTGTTTCTTACTTGTATGCATAAATTTGGAGGAAGCTGCTTCTTTTAGCCTCTTTCAGTTTGAGATATTTGCTCCGTTTTGGGGCAGTTGGCCCAAAACTGAATGTGGCACAATTCTGTTGCTAATCATCAACCATTTGATTCATTCCTTCTCACC